GATTCAGTTGGGTGTCATTTAAGTATCTGTAACAGGGTGGCTCCAAAAGGAAGTCCTTGAACAGGGTTCAGAACAGATTCAAGCAGTAAATCCAGTTGAACCAAAATCCAAACCCAAACACTTAACCTCAAATATGACTTGAGAAATAGGGAATCCACAGGTGGAACCCATAGGAGCCAAGCTACAGAACCACTCCCTTTCAGGAGATGGGAAATCTTGTCCAAGTGACATACAAAGGACTCATGTCCCATCAAGGTCGTGGGCTAAAATCTGCATCAAAGCCTGTGGTTTCTGTAGATATTAAGAAATCTTAGAAGAGATAACCCCAAAATGGCTTGGGAAGTTAACCTCAACATTTGCTTGGAGTGGCAAAATCGCAGCCTTCGTGAACCCACTTTTCTTGAGCTTGATAAGAATTGAGTACAAAGGTATTTAAGAGGGGCGCCTGGGTGGCTCAGTAGGTTAAAGCCTCTGCCTTTCACTCAGGTTGTGATCCCAGGGTCCTGGGATCGAGCCCAGCATCAGATTCTCTGCTCAGCAGGGAGCCTGCTTCCCTTCCTCTCTCTGCCTGCCTCTCTGCCTACCTGTGATCTCTGTCTGTCAAATAAATAAAATAAAATTTAAAAAGGCACTTAAGAGAATCAAACATATAGCCGTTACACAGTGACGTTAAGAAATGATGGGTGGGTGCGTGTTTAGAATTCTGAGTATCATATTTAAAAGAATATGCTCCGTGGGTGTAACAGATCAGCTTTCTGGTTCTAATTGAAAATGCACAAACAAATCATTGATTGATTTAGACTCAGGATTTTTAATTTGAAATCTATCCAAGTTTGTCAACAGCATCAGAGTAGTTCTGAGAATTCAAATTCACCATATTTATTAACATAAATTATTAGATTTCTAAGAACTATTTAAGTGCTTGAGAAAGTTTTGTTTGTCATTAAGGCAAGTGAAGTATTTTAAACATAAATTGAATATATTAAATTTATACATTCCGTTTAAAGTGTTTACACATGTTTAACCAAGATCGTAAACATTCATCACTTTTAAATGATCGTCCTAAAAACTTATTTTTAAAGTTGCACTATTCGTGAGGGATTTTTATTCTGAACTCAAATGCTGAAATGCAGTTATTGAATTTAAAACTGTAAGAAATTGTTAATTTTGGAAAACCAAAGGAGACCTAATGATCTTCTCTAGGCAGAAAAGCCACCTCAAGGGTACCAAGAACTCACAGTGACACTCAGGTAGCATTAGCTGTGGAAATGACAATCAGGTCACCCACTCCCCCTTCCCTGATGATTTTGGTGTCTGCCAACTACACAGGGGAACTATCATCCAGGGGCAAGGTCCTGGTCTCTGGACCGCTCCTGTCACTTGACTTCAGCCCTCATGGCTAGTGGCTGTTTCCAGAACTTACCCACCAATTTCTGAGCACTATGTGCCAAGAGCTTTAATATGCTTTATTTCATTTCATCCTTGTAGCAATCATCTGGAGAAGACACTTTCACCGCGTACATTTCACGAATGGGAGAATAGAAAGGTAAAGACACAGGGAGATAAAGGTGGCGCGTGGGTTTAAATCCAGGCTGCTGGCTGTGTGTTGTTAGGTCTCAAGCCCTCCCTTAAAGAATGGAGCCCGTGGAATTCACTCACTCGGAGCAGAGAGGAGGGGGCTCTTCTTTCTTCCGTTTATGAGCGCTAAGAGGCGGAGAGTTTCTGTACCAGTGACGCCTCCTGCTGGAAGGTGGGCGTATGGCACAGGGGAGCTCTGGCACACAGAAAGGAGCTCACCTAAGGTTTCGGCCCCTGGAGAACAGAAAGGGGTCCAGGCTCCGAGATTTCTAGGACCTGTCTCCAGAAAGTTCTTTAGCCTCCAGTATGCTTCTCTCTAAGCTCAGTCCCACTGTCCCAGTGGAGCCCTAGCACAGCCTCCCATCTGCTCTTAGGAGTCCCTCCTGCCCACTCTCACCAAAAGCCAGAGATCCTACCTTCCATGGCTCCCTAGTGCCCAAGGAATCCAGCCAGAAGGCTCTCTGGCCTGGCACTCAAAGTCTCCATGGCCTGGCCTCAGGCTTTTCTTGGCCCTGCCCCCCAAATATCTCCCCACCGTGTACCCTCACTCACTGAGTGTCCACACCTACCTTCCTTGGCTGTGCCCTGTCTCCTGCCAGCAATGCCCTCGTCAAACTCTTGCCCATCCCTCGGAGGTGAAATCCAGAGCCACCTCTTCCCGAAGGCCTTCCCCTCTTTCCTTAGCTTGATTTAAATTTCCCTCCTCTGTGAAGCAGTGGCTGTGTGTCCCAGCCCGCCTCCCAAGAGCACCTGTATCCCTTCACCTGGCCGCAGACCACAGGCCAGGAATGCTCAGGAATCATCCCACCCCCATTCCAGGTGCTGCCCTCCACCGACAAACACCCCAGCTCCATCACCCCTCTCGGGGACAACTCTGAGTTCATGCTCCACGCTCCCCGCCAGAAACTCCCCCCACCTCCCGCCCCCAAAAACTGCAGTTGCCTACACCAGTAAATTTGGCACCCCTTTCCCTATTGACTAACTTTCCCTATTGACTAACCTTTCTGCTTCAATTCCTCACTCCCCTACTGGTGCTTCCTGGGACAGCCCGTCAAATAAACAACTTGCCCTGAATTTCTATGGCAGGATCTGCTTCCAGGGAACCCATCCCAGGCCTGTGCACTCCCTCCACGGTACTCAGCGGATGGCTTTGCTGGAGCACCGGGCAGCAGGGGCCTTGCATGTTGCCCACTAAAACCACAAGCAAGATGGATCGAGCACTTTCGACGTGCCTGGTCCTTTTTATGTGTCCTTTCGTTTGAGCTCACAACAACCTGGGAAGTGGGTGCCGTGGTGACCCTGATTTCACAGTTGAGAAAACCAAGACTTGTGTAAACGATTTGTCCAAGGTCTCCTCAGCTAACAAGTGGCAGGGCTGGGATTTAAATCCAGGTGGATGGATTCTAGAGATGGAGAATTTAGCCACGTGTGGGATATGGCAGGTATGACAGCACCTGCCTCCACGTAGTTGTGAATGCCCGAGAAGTGTTCTTATAGAAAGGGCTGGGGGGGGGGGGGCGGGCAGGGAACCTCTGTCACCCCTGCTAGATTGCTTATAAGGATGGACTGTGTCTATGGACTCACGCCCCTCCTCCTGCCCAGCCCAGTGACGATGCATACTCAAGAATGATTTATTAAGTGTTTATTAGACTGAATCAACAGCCCAGGCTCATAGGACCAAGGCAGTAAGACAACAGGACAGCCGAAAATGTTGAGGTTCAGAGCACCTAGCAGACTGTGTGACCTTGGGCAGGTCGCTGTCCCTCTCTGGACTTCACTCCCCCTTCTCGGAGCTGCAGTTGCCCCTGTGTCTAGGGAGAGGGTCCCTTGTCACTGACCCACACAAATGGAGTCCCTAAGCCCTAACTCCAGCCATCCAGTGGGAATAAGGTACCAAAAGCTAAAGGAAGGCGCTAAGACAGAAAAAAGCACCTTCCTTCATCTGACAGCGTAACACTCGCTGGTACCATGCCTCCCCTGAGAAAAACGTCCCTCCTCCCTGCTCCTAAAATGGGGATCTGGCGCCACCTCGTGGTCATCACTTCCTCCTCCTCCACCTTTTCCTTTATCTCTTGCCAAGGAGCCCACTGATGCCCTCTGGGAACTCCAGGGCATCCCACCCTCTTCACCAAATATTTACTATGTTTGGGCATGAAGGCACAACCCAGAAGAGAAAATTACGAGCAAGGGGGCCACAGTCCCTGCCTAATTGTTTAGAAGAAGCTAGACCAGCCCTTCCAACGGAAATATGCAAGCCGCAAATGGACATCTCATAGGCAAAGTAAAACTTTCCCAAAGTTACATTTTCCCAGCCCTTCCCTTTTCCTAAGTGGAATGGTTTACAGGACTGAGGGCTGAGGCAGAAGTGGAAGTGATGCCCCATCCCAGAGCCCCTCCTTCACTGACTGGCCAGAGATCCCTTCCAAGAAAGTAGGATCATAGGATGGGCTTTGCCAGGGAAAAAGGGATGCGAGGGAACAAGGAAAGACCCAGGGTGTGGGGAGCTGCTCTTGAGGATAGGGTGGGGGGAGGTCCACTGGGCACAGAGGAGCTACCTTGGAGATGGATGGCCCATCACCTCCCCACTCTGGCCTCCTATCAGAATGTCTGTCAAATTCAGCTCACGTGGTATCCAGCGTGATTTTCCTAAAGCACCCATCATGTCAGTTGCCATGTTTCAAGGTCCTTGCAAGGCTTTCCTGTGACCTTAAGATAAAGAAAAACATCCTTCCGATGACTTACAAGGCACTATGTGACCAGGTCATGGCCAGGCCAGCCCCTGCCCTACCCAAACCTTGGCTAGATAGAACTCACTAGACCCTTGTGTGTGTGCTTGCTTCTGTCTGGAGCACTCTTCTCACCCCCTCCTCCCCTGCAGCCCACCCTCTAAGTCTCACCTGGGATGTCTTCCTCCCCTCATCTACAAGGCAGCCCTGCACCCTTCCTCTGGGTCCCCAAGGCCCTAGCTCAATGGCTCTTCCAAAACTTCTGTATAGAGCGGCCTCAGATCTAATCTGCTTGGGTGGCTTTAGGGGGCCTAGTGGTGATGTAGGGGAGCAAACTTTGTCACCCCAAAATATGCCATTTTGGCATGCTTGTTATTTTAAACTGGTTATTTTTTTAAAGATTTTATTCATTTATTTGACAGAGAGAGAGATTACAAATAGGCAGCCAGAGAGGGGAAAGCAGACTCCCCGCTGAGCAGAGAGCCCGATGTGGCATTCAATTCCAGGACCCCAAGATCATGACCTGAGCCAAAGGCAGAGGTTTAACCCACTGAGCTACCCAGGCACCCCTAAACTGTGGGGTTTTTTTTAGAATGTACAAATCTGCAAAAAAAAAAAAAAAGAGAGAGAGAGAGAGAGAGAGAAGTTCTAAAGAATCAATAGAAGTTACCATTTCATCAAAGATACTTAATATGTAGCTTTGCGCAGTGGCAGTATCGTAGCCAATGAGGTTTATCCGAGGCGCAATTATTGCTAAAAGATATTTAATATGTATAAGGGAAAGTTCCATTTGTAGGGTGTCTCCCTCTTTGTACCAGAAAGAGGTATTTAGGATGATCCTAAGTCTCTAGAAAGTCTATCAATGAGAAGACATGGACTTAAATCTGCTTAAAAACCTGACCTCTTGTTGACTGTGCTTTTCCTGGTCACCTCCCATAACTGACTCCCTACCCCAACATCTTCTTTCATCTTTAGCTGTGATGGAGCCACTTCAGGAGTTACTCGGTTTCCTTGAACCTCCCCCATGTATACAGAACTTACACATACTATTAAACTTTGCTTATTTTTCTCTGGTTAATCGTTCTCATGCTGGTTTGAGTCTGAGACCAGCTAAAAGAATCTCAGAGGGTAAAGAAAATTTCCCCCTCCCCCAGCAGTGATCAAGGGCAATCCTCTGCTCCTGCCCGCCCCTTCTCAAGAAAGGCCACAGCACGGGCACCTGGGTGGCTCAGTGGGTTAAAGCCTCCGCCTTCAGCTTGGGTCATGATCTCAGGGTCCTGGGGTCCTGGGATCGAGCCCTGCATTGTGCTCTCTGCTTGGCGAGGAGCCTGTTTCCCCCTCTCTCTCTGCCTGATTCTCTGCCTATTCGTGATCTCTCTCTCTCTCTCTCTCTCTGTCAAATAAATAAGTAAAGTCTTAAAAAAAAAAAAAAAAGAATGGCCACAGCTACTTGTTTTTACGTCTCAAACACCTGGTGCCCAGTACAGCCTGGCACACGGTGGCACTCGCTAAATACCACCCACACCCTGCTCTGCATTCTTCCATTTGCTGTCTGGCTGGATGACCTCTCTCCAATCTCTCCCCTTCTCTGAGTCTCCTTAGCTAATCAGAACCTTGCTTTCATCAGCAAACTCTGAAGTTCTGGACGCCATAAAGGGGGAGGATGATAGCACCCTAGAAATACATGCTCGTGATAAATTGCAGAGGTTTTTTAAATTGTTATAGAACAGCATGTACAGTCCAAAATATGCATCTAGAAAATAACTACCATCTATTAGACTTAGTTGGAGCTAGGCTCTGGTACACCAAGAATGTTACTGTCTGTACCACCTCGTTATTCCTTACAACCCTGCCAGCTGAGTATTGGGGTCCGTTATCAAAGAAACGAGACTGAGACAAAGTGAAAGTTATGCAATGCCTTATTCTATACCAAGCATTAGAAGTCAGACTGACCGGCCAGGGCCGCCTCCAAAGAGAGCGACCCCCTCCCGATCTCACAGGCTGGTTTTATAGGGCACAACTGCAGACCCAAGGTATGTGGCTTCTATTGTCGAGGGGTTTACTCCCGGAATTGATACCCAGACCATACCAGGAACTACTGGGGCGTTTATTCCCGGAATGAAGTCCGTGGATGTAAACCATATGGCTACCTAGGCAATATGGAGTTGCTCTGGCAAAGCAGGCCCTAATAGTTAAGCAGGTTTTAACATTAAATCGGCCCTAACACTGAGTACCACCAGCATCTCCTATAAGGAAGAAGCAGCTAAGGTCCAGAACGGTCCCCTAGCTAGCGAGGGGCAGAACTGGACTTGACCCCAGCTTTGCCAAGTCCAAAGGCCATGCACGCTCTTCACTGCCAGGCCAGTTGGTTCCCCTGTGCAAATTGGGAATAATAATAGCTTCCACCTCATAGGGTTGTTGGAGGATTAAACAAGCTAAGAGGTGCAAAGCCCTCAGGGCGGCTCCTGGCAGAGACTTAGGGCTCAGCCAGCATCATCACCCACAGCAGCACCGGACTGCCTCCGGGCGGGCCCTACAAGATCACACTCAAAAAAAGTTAACAGTGGTATCTCTGGTCCTGAGGTCCTGGGTAATCATATCTGTTTTTCTTTTTCTATACTAATCAGGTATTCATTGTATATTTCTTTCTTCTTAAATTTTTCCATGAACTATGTCCTTGGTGATCTGTCCCTCGTCTCAAAGCAGGCCTGTGATGTGAGTCACCTCCCCACGACCTGGCACAGGGAGACCCCCCGGGGACAGGATCATAGCACAGAACGGCTCAGAGGAGCCCTCCCAGCCCAGGCTCTCCAGCCACACACTTGGCAGGAGATGGAGTTGCAGGTGTAGGGTGCAGATCAGTGCCAGGAAGCGGCCCACACTAAGCCTCTTCTTTGTTGGCATTCCCCAAAAGACACAATGAGATGCCTTTGCAGCTCTTCCGGGCCCCAGGGGAGCGGTGGGAGCAGCCGTGGTGTGTGAGACCTCCGGCCCCGAATCCCCCAACAGCTGTGACCACTTCAGCTATTTTAAACCCTTGGGCACCAGGAGGCTCCCCTCACACCGACCAGTGCCGTGACCCAACTGCAGGCCCTGAGCCAGGGGTAGGAACCCGAATGTGGGTCCCCTGGGTCCAGGTTGGATTTTTGAAGGAGTAGGAATTTCATCTCTTGACTGCTTGCTTTGTACCAGGCACTGTGCTCGTGTTTCCCACACATTGTCTCCTTTAATCCCATCCTCACACCTATGCGAGAGCTGAGTCGTTCACAGGTCCCCAAAGGGCAGAGTGAATTGTCCAGGGCTTCATGATGCCGTCCCCACAAAGGAACTAGAACTTGGGTTTCTTCATCTACCAATCAAGAGACAGCATTCCATCTCTGCCCTGACCTGCTCTGTCCCCCAACCCCTGCCCCCATGGCCACACAAGTCCCTACATTGGCTCTGCCCCTCTTGGGAGCTGGGAGGTGGAGGGTGTTGGGGTCCATTATCAAAGGAACGAGACTGAGGCAAAGTGCAAGTTATGCAAAGCCTTATTCTATGCCAAGCATTAGAAGTCAGACTGACTGGCCAGGGCTGCCTCCGAAGAGAGCGACCCCCTCCCGATCTCACAGGCTGGTTTTATAGGGCATAACCGCAGACCCAAGGTATGTGGTTTCTATTGTCGAGGTGTTTATTCCCGGAATTGATACCCAGACCATACCAGGAACTACTGGGGCGTTTATTCCCGGAATGAAGTCCGTGGATGTAAACCATATGGCTACCTAGGCAATATGGAGTTGCTCTGGCTAAGCAGGCCCTAATAGTTAAGCAGGTTTTAACATTAAATTGGCCCTAACCGAGGGCAAATTCCTTAACATTTGTGCGGCTCCCTTTCTTCATCTGGAAAGTGGCAGGGTTATGGGGAGGGTACAATGATCTAATTCTAATACATGAAAAGTGCCGCTGGGACAGCACCTGGCATGCGAGAAGAATGCATTAAGGGCCTGCTGTCATTCTTTCTCTCCTGGCAATCACCACCCCTTGCCTGACGTTATCACTATCCTGCTCCATTCGTGACCTGCCAGGGCCCCAGTGGGGGTGCAGCATTCCTCCCCCCAACTCCAGGGCCCTAGTTTCTGGGCGGGTGAGATGAGGTTGTCATGCTTCATGATCCGCAGGAAGGGGGCACCCCTGGCATATGCCCAGGATCTGCCACATAGTAGGGACTCAAAAACAATTCTGGGAGAGGGGTGCTCAGACGAGATCCCCCCCTCAAGGGACCCTCAAAGTCAGCTCCCAGGTGCACAAGCTTTCTCCTCTTTGGCAGGTAGCTGCCGTCTCCTGAGTCTCACTCCTATCAGAAGTTACCAGGGTCTCTCTGGCTCAGTGAGCCTTTTGGGGCAGATGCCCCCCACCCCAACCCAACTCAGACCTTCCCCTTTGTCCACCCACATTCCTCCCAGATCCTGGCTGCCCATGAGCAGCCGGGCTCTTCACCATCTCTTAATTTGGGCCATCTCAAGAAGGCTGCTGGGGTCAGAGGCTGGGTGTGCCTCAGCTCTGGGCACTGGTAAGCCCCCACCCGCTCATTCAGGGGCACCCCATCCCAGGGCTCCATTCCCCCAGCAACCCTACCCTCTTCTCAAACATGAACGCCCTCCAGCCTACTCCCTCCTTCTTGTAACCTGCGTCCACTCTGACCCCTCCTCGCTGAAGAAGTCACCCTGAGGCTCCCACTGCACACCCAGCCAGCGATGCCTTGGCTTGGCGTTCTGACCCTGTAGGCTGCTGGGTTCCCCTGCCAACTGCTCCCGGTTCTCCCTCATCATAGGGGGTGGATGGGGATGTCAGCTTGTCTCTGGCTTCCTGGCTTTCCTCCGGACACTGCCTCTCCTCCCTTCCCCTTAGTTTGCAAACGCCTCCTTTAGGAAGGCTCAGGTCCGGACCCCAAGCCGGGTTAGCGCGCCCACTCCCTCTGGGCTACCACCACTTCCTGTCCTCGCCCCTGTAACAGCTCCACCGCTGCATTATCTGCCCTGAAAAACTGGGGGCGCCCGGAGGGGAGCCCGGCCCTGCGTCCTGGCGCCCGGTAGCTGGGGGCCCACGAAAGTATACTGAGTCAGTAAACCAGCCGTGGAAAGGAGGAAATGGGCAACCGCCGACTTCACCCCGATTACAGACCCGGGGATGCGGAACACGAGTGCGCGGGCGGTGGTGCGGAGGTTGGGGGAGCTGCGGGGAGGGTGGGGGCGTGGCCACGCTTGACGGACGGGCCCGCCCTCTGCTGCGAAGCGGAGGCCAAGCGGCCGCCCCGCCCACCGGCCATAAATACTGCGGAGCGCGCAGCCCGACTGCGGGCAGCTGGAGTGGGCTCACCTGCGGCAGGTGCTCCGGCAGGTGCTCCGGGCCGACGCGACCTGGACGAGCGACGACCGGCACTGCGGGAAGATGCTGCGCGAGCGGACCGTGCGGCTACAGTACGGGAGCCGGGTGGAGGCGGTGTACGTGCTGGGCACTTACCTCTGGACCGATGTCTACAGGTGAGTGGGGCCCCTGAGACCGCTGGAGACACCCCTCCCCCCGCCGATCCCAGAAACCCGAGCCCCTCCTCGGATGTGGGGTCGCGACGGACTTCCTCCAGCGCGAGTTGCTGCTCATCTTGAGGCCCTTGTATCCAGAAATCCTAAGAAACTCACCCGGAAGACCGACTGCCCCCAAACCAACAGCCTCCCCGAAATCCTGACACCCTCTCACACACCCTAACACAGACCTAGCTCCCTCATCACCCCTTTCCCAGACCCCTTCCCCTGGACCCCAGTCTTCCCATGGTCTGACCCTCTGCAGCCCCTCACCCAGAACAAACCGGGAGACCCCTAGTCTTTCCCCTTGCTCTCCCCTCAACACCTCCCTTCTCCCCCCTAGGCTCTCCCCTTCCTCTCAGACCCTTCTGACTCATCACCCACCTCAAAGCAGCTGAGTTCTTCCAGGATCTGCTGGGAGGAGGGGGGTGCGGCCAGGGCCAGGCCAGAGGGGAGCTGCCCTGGGGTGGAATCTGGCCCTGGGGGTTACTCAGGCTCCAATTTCGCCCTGTGGGGGCTGCTGGTGGTTGCCTGTCCCCAGGCACTGGCTGTGAGCTCCATGTCCCTGAATGCCTTCCCCTGACTTCGCCCTGGAGTTTGGGAGGACTTGGTTCTGCCAGGCTGCAGGGTGCAGAGGAAGGGTCTTTGGAAGAAGAGCGTCCCAGACTGCACCCTGTTCCCTCCCCCTCTTCTCTGGCCCACAAATTTTGGCGGGATACAGGGTTTCTGAAATAGCAGGAGATAGGGTGGGGAAATTGAAGTCATGACCCTCCCCACTGCCCCAGCCCCCAGGAAACAGGGGAACCCCATGGCCCCCCTCCTGTATTCTGTGGGTCACCCTTGCGAAGTTGTGGCTGGTGTGTGCAAAGGGGTGGAGGGGGACCCTGGCAGGATCATTCCGTGAGCATTTTCTCGGAGCAGCCCTCTCCTGCAAGCATGGCTAGAGTGGGATGGGCCAGCGCTGGCAGGAGGGAACATGCCGGACTCTAAGGTGGGACCCCAAGCTGATAACCTTGAACAGGTCCCCTAACCTCTCTGTTCCTTGAGCTGAACTGGAGCTGCCGATGTGTCTCATTGCCCCCAAATCATTCTGCCATCCGGAGTACCCGCCTCCCCAGGACCTTCACCAAATCCCATCCCTGCCTCTCCCCACGCCCCCTCCCCACCCCATCCTCGGTCACCTCCGGTGGCCCTGGCAGCCCTGCCCAGCCAGTCTCCTGCCACCCCCTCATCAGGCTCTGGCCACGCTGATACCATTAGAGCCCCAGCCTCCTCCTGTGAGGACAAAGGGTCCCGTCACCATGCAGACAGGCACCCTCTCTGCTCATTGGCCCCTGGCCTCAATTGTGCACATGGAAATTCAAGGTGGTTTCTGAGGGTCAAAATACAGCAGAGGACTGTGGTCCAGGCCTCGGTGGCCTGGAAGGGCTCCCCTCTGTTCCCCACCCCCAATCCTAAACCAGGCACTGCCAGGGAGCGGGCGGGGAGCCAAGGCACTCAGGTCTCTAAGCCTCAGCTGTCCCTAGACCCGCCTGTTTGTTCACTGGAGCACTTTCGCTGCAGCCTGAAAGGCTGGCATTGTGCCTCTGGTGGGAGGATGGGGAGAAGGGAGGGGGGTCATCCTTAGGCCTCCTGCCTTCCCCTGTCCTGGCAGATAGAGGCCCAGCCCCAGTAGGGAAGTGTGTGGGGGAGGGGTGGACCCACCATCCTCCCTCTGGCAGGGGGCAGAGGTGTGATGATCCCCTTTGTCCTTTCCCAAGAAAGCCCCCACTGCCACGATGACCCCCGTCCCCCAGCTGCCCTTCGCTTAAGACCCCACCACCCCCCAAGAGTAGAAGCTTGGTCTAGACCAGCACGGTCCAGCAGAAATAGCATGCCAGCTACAAAGAGAGCCGCAGGTATACGTTAATTTCCTATCACCCACAATTTTTAGGATTCCAATAAAGAGGCGAAATTAATTTTCATAGTGTATTTTATTTAACCCAAGAGATCCAAAATACTAGCACTCCAACATCTAATCAGTTTAAAATGATTAAGGAGATAGTTTACATTGTCTTTTTCATACTAAGTCTTTGAAATTCAACATGCGTTTTACTTTTTTTTTTAAGATTTATTTATTTATTTATTTGACAGATAGAGATCACAAGTAGGCAGAGAGGCAGGCAGAGAGAGAGGAGGAAGCAGGCTCCCCGCAGAGCAGAGAGCCCGATGCGGGGCTCAATCCCAGGACCCTGGGATCATGACCTGAGCCGAAGGCAGAGGCTTTAACCCACTGAGCCACCCAGGCGCCCCCAATGTGTGTTTTATACTTAGGGCTCATCTTGGTACAGACGCGCTGAATCTTGGGCTCTCAGTAGACACAGGTGCCTGGTTGCCACTGTCCTGAACAGCCCAGGCCGGGATTCCAACCCTCAACACTAGTGCATTTGGAGCCGGATAGTCGTTTGTTGCGGGGGGCTGTCCTGTGCAATGTTCAGCAACATCCCTGACTTCTAAACTCTAGACGCCTATAGTAAGTCCTCTGTCGCTGTGATGACCCAAAATGTCTCCAGATAATGGCAGCAGCCCTCTAGAGGAGGACAAAAACACCTCCAGCTGAGAACCACTGGTCGAGTGGAAGGAAGCCTCTTTAAGAACAAAGGAGACGGGCTGTTACTCCTCCTGCCACTCCTAGTATCCGTGGCGGTAAGGGCTAGGGTCCGTTTTAATAATAGCGGGGATATTAGTGAGCACTTGGAAACCAAATGCATTCTCTTGTCTCTTCCTCGCCACGGACCTTGGGGGTCAGGCTGAGATCATCTCATTTTCTAGATGAGGAAGCAAGGCTCAGAGACGTGAGGCCAGTCGCCTAATATCAGACAGGATTTGGGTCCGGGTCTGTCTGACTCAGAACCTGAATTCTTAACCTCCACTGCATTGTGTGTGACTTTAAAACTAGCAAGTTGAACTGGGTGACCCTCTCGGCCAGTGTTTCTTCCTCCCTCCAATGCCTCAAGACCCTTCACCCACCCCCTTTCGACCCTGCACTTCCTACAGAGTCCTTCGGGACCCAGATATAGGTTCTGACTCTAGATCCCACACGAGTCTTCCCCTCTGCCCAGGGTCTCCAAGGAGACATCAAGGGACCCTTGTGGACCCTGGGCCCAGCTACTAAGGGAGTGTGTTTGGATCCCTCACTGCCCTTGTGACAAAAGTGAGAGAACAGGTCTCAACACCCACCTCCTCTTCCCAGGGGCTCGGGCCTCTTTTCCTGAGATGTATGCATGGCCCCCTTTCCTACAGACACACAGTGGGGGCCACAGCTGTGGGTGAGGAGGCCACACGGGGGGGGTCCTCAGCAGACCCTGTGGTTGACCCACCCTCTCCCAGCCACACTGGCCCCTGGGGGTAGATGTCCTGACCCTGGAACTTTCTGCGTGCTGGTTTCCAGTGAGCTATAAGTAAATAAATGCACAGAAAAAGGAAGTCGGTTTTTTTCCCAGAGATTTACTTTGCAGTTGTTAAAGGTACTTGCTGTTTCCTTCTCTCCATCCCAAGCATCTTCTCTTAGATCTGGCACGTGTACGCCTTGTCCACACCATCTCCCCCGACAGTCCCTTTACCTGCCAGATGCTTCTTCACTGGGGCTGGCCCGGGTCCCCCTCTGCTTCGGGCTTGCAGCTGGAGAGAGCAGAGAGAGAGTGGCTTCTCCATGTTGATTTCAACCTCCCCGTTCACCTCTGGTTTCCGTGAGGAGACACCCCCAGAGCCAGGAGGGATCAGAGAAAGGGCAGCCTTGGAGTCGGGTAACGGGGGTGATCACACTGTGCCTGATTGTCCCACTGACCCACAAACCAGGCTGTGTAGACAGCTTCTCCTCTCCCTCCCTTGGTCTACGCATCTGTCCAGGGGAGTCAGAGGCGTACCCTTCTCTCTGGTGCAGAAAGGTCAGGATCTGTTTCCTAAAGCCTGCAGAAGCTTTAGGACGCAGACAACCTTAACAATGGTCTCTTGCCTCTGCGGAGCATTCTCCTAATTATAGCTGACATCAGGATGAGATGGGGGGTGGGAGTGATTCCCCCGCCCCCTCCCGTGGGATACCCCAAGGCAGAAGCTGGCCAAGGGTACCAGGGCAAGAGAAGCGAGCACAGTAAAATGCTGGGAAAACAAGGAGGGGTACAGAGATGTACCCCACCTTGGGGAAGAGCCTGGAGAATCAAAATTCACCATCTCACTCTCTTGACCCTTCTTAGACTTCCTTCTTGTTCCTTGGTTGGTGTGAGTGTTTTAGAAAGTATCCTTAGGACAAAGGCCAAGGGTGGGGGGGTCTGTGATCCAGTTAGAAGCATTAGAGAACTGGGGTGCCATGGTGTCCCCATCCCTGAGAGTGCCAGGCCCTGCCTCACAGATCCCATCTCCTGCCAACTACCCTACACACATTCTACTCTGGCCACGTTAATTTTGTGGATGCTATTAGCTCTTGACCACACTAAGCTCATTTGTGCCACAGGACCTTTGTATGTGCTCTTCCCTCTGTCTGGAGTACTATTCCCCAAACCTCTGCAAGCCTGACACTTTATCCATCAAGGCTTTGCTCACACATCACCTCCTCTGAGAAGCATTCTTCATTACCCTCATTTCATGACACACCATCTCAAGCCCCAAGCATTTTTGGGCCTCCATGCCATTTTTCCTCCTGCAGATCTTATTAACTCAATATTACTGGATAACATTTATTGAACACATATTCTGTATCAGACTGCCTTCCTAACACCTTCCATACTCATCTCACATGTATTTAATAATTTACATGTGTTTAAACCTCACAACAATTTTAGGAGTTAGCTACGGTTGCTGGCCCCCTTCGTTGGGGAAACTGAGATAAGGAACGTTTGTCCAAGTTGGCACAGCAGGTAAATGATGGCACTGCCTCACCCCAGCCCCAGACTACTCTGCCAGGCTGCCTTCTAAGGACTTATGTT